GTCCGTTCGGTGTCAGCATTATAATAGACGGGGGTTTCATGGGGTACTCCGTCGGCAGTATTATACGCCCGTGATATACACCGCCGAAGAAGTCACTATCAGGAGGTCCTCTCACCGTGAAGTGCCACTCAAACAGATTGTCCTAATAGTGGATCAGTTCGCAGACATGCACACAAGCAATGAGATCATTGGTGGACACAAACAGGTGGACAGGACTTACATCTAATGGTTGTGCGAAATACTCTGCGGTCCGATCGTTGAGCAGCTCTTTGGCCTCTCTGTACAGACGTTTGACGGCTACGGGAGGGGACAGACAGATGGACAGGTGGTTAGTGATCACACGTATGTCATACTCGATGGTTGTGTCAAACCTGGCGATCGTGTGTTGTATTGACTGTCCATTTGGTGTCCGATTTGCTTAAGACATACGACTCGCGCAGGAAATGGATTTCAGAGACGATTACAACGATATGTTTGTCGCGAATACGAGTGACGAGTGTTGGGATCAATTGGGACACAAGAGTGGATCAAATGATGGCTTGATTTGGTGCCTCAATACTGGTTTTGGTGACAATATTTACAATTGAATCCAACGTTACGTCACTTCAAGTGACGATTCAGAAGAAACTGAAGGCAAGTCTCTATGGGTTTGCCGTCAGATGTCATCACTGGTCGTAAACATAGGCTTCCACTGCGAATAGCAAAAGACAAGTAAAAACGAAAGTTTTTGTTCATATTTGTAGTATTTTTCAACGCATATTGTCTACAAGAATAGCGCGCATACTGTACGACACGCCGCGCACTGCCTCCAGTAACAGCCGCAGCCAATGAGACGACTGATTAGAATCGCGCAGAAATTTCTGTAGACATAACGCTTAGGCAATGTATGGCTCGTCGCGAACAACACGCGCCAGACATCTGTATGCATACGAAATGTTTGTTGAAATGGCGGACAGAGTTTAAAGTGTTTGAAGTGTTGTTCGCAAACACTTCACCGGACTATCAATCAGTTGATCCGTGGCTACGAATGGCCGACGCGTT